AGTCCTTGACTCAAGACAGCTCGCTGGCTGCCTTCCATATCACCAGCCATTAACCTTTCTCCTCTACCCAGATAAATTAATATGTCTGCAGGGCTTTTGGAGCTAGTGAGCAAGCCCAGTCAGCACTGATAGATGGGCCAGGAAAGCAAAAAGCCAAGTGGTGCCAGGGAGGATTGCCTCAGCCTGAACTGTCTGGATCTCACTGGCCACTGGGTGATTTGTCAGCCAGAAGGATCAGTGCATGCAACTGATAGATGTGGCAGACCCACAAAAGTACCTGGGCATCCCTCCCTGGTGCTTGGGAAGGGCTGGCACTGGTGCCTCTGCCACGCATGTGGACAAAGTGGCAAGGGCTGAGAATGGGTCTTATGTGCAAACCGTCATGGGAGAGCCCCAAAGCCAAGGGGGCAGGATGAATTTCCCAGCGCTCACACAAGCCAGTCCAACTGGTTTATGCAAAGCAGAAATCACTGATATTTCTGTGTTGACACTTCTGTCTGGCCCAGGTCTCATACGTAATAGCCTCAATTTTAGACAGCACGTCAGGACGTTTAGCAATCAGAGTGCTCGACTGACTCTGAGGACGCAGTACCCCAGCATGGACCCAGGGAGTCTTGTGTGCTACAAGGCCTGGAGGATCGGAGAGGCTCTGGGGATGAAGGTGAGAGACCTCAGACTTTTGCACCCTCTTGCACTTCTGGGTGGTTATAGTGGGGATTTGTTCCTGATGGCATCCCTCGAGCAGACGTTGTCAGAGATGGACTAAACTGAGCCATGTGCTGGCTTGACTGTGCTGGCTACCCCAGGCAAGCAGGGATGCCCTGTGCGCAGCTCCAGGGAAGAAGGCAGGGACTGCGAACTATCAGCTGGGCAGCCTGAGATGGCTGCAGTTCAGTTCTCTGCTCTGCAAAGCATCTCTCATTAACCCTACTGTGTCCCACATACTGTGGCCACATACCCTTTGAGGACCTACCTGGGGCCACTAGATATTTCCGTAGCCTCAGAGCAAAACTGTCCATGTGAGTGCTCTGTATTACCTTCAGTGCAAAGTCTGCCAGCTCTATCCACTTGCAAAGGCCACAAAATTTAGCCTGACCTTGCTGGGCTTGCCAAACCTTAAAAATTGGCTTTGCATGGGAGATACCCAAGGAGTGGATTAAGTCCCCGCCCTGGACCTGGCTGACCACTAGCACTGGGAATGCCCAGCCCTTCTCACAGTGGAAATATGAGAGAGACCATGCTGAAAAGCATCTGGTTGCCACCTGTCAGCATCAGTAGGTAGTCTCAACACCATCTGGGTGCCATGGCAGCTTTGCACCTTGCCTGGGCTACGTGTCCAACTAGCATCTCTAGAGAACAGAGATCAGAAAGGGCCTGATCCAGACAAGTGCTGAGTATTTGCCTCTGTCCCTCAAACCAGCTAACTGGAGTGTGCACCCAAGTCCAGGGCCACTGTGACTGCTGCCAGCACTGACGATCGTCAGCCCTTCACCAAGGGCATTTGGAGAGGGATCAGGGAGCAAGAAAGGCCTCTCCTGCACTTCCTCACCCTGCCAGCATACACCTCTGCCTTCCCTCCTGCATGCCAAGGTTGAAAGTAGTAGCATCAACCCTTTTGCTCCTTCCAAAAGTGTGCTTTGGAGGGGACCCCCCTCCCCCAGTGGGGGACCCCCTCCCTCCTCCTTGGCTCCAGTCCTTCCACAACACCACTCTGCCCGCTTCACAGCCCTGGGAATTAGCTTTCCAAAGCACATCTCTGCCATCTGCTCTGATGTGCTGCTGGTGATGGGAATCTCCAGGCTGAAGCCGAGAGCTCCACTCAGGAAGCAGAGCTTCTCTCTGGCTGAGTGCATGCAGCAAAAAATGCTGGGGAGACTCAGCCACAGCAGCCTTGTTTCTGCACAGGTCAGGGATGTGAAGGGCTGAGAGAGATTGCAGCTGCTGTGGGAGGCCCTGGCTTGGGAGCCACGGCCCAGGCTGCACAGAGTTGGCGCATGGGACAAGCTGCCCCCATGAGTCCATTCCCTCTTCCTGACTTCTGATCCTATTACCCAGCTTCAGTCAAAGTTGGCAGAGGGCTGGAGGTCTCAGCAGGATGAAGTTCATAGAAATGTCCTGAAAAAAGGGTAGAGGAGAGAGTAGGTAAGCGATCCCTCTGCAGGAAAGATGGTGGCATGTGCTCAAGGCTTATTAGATACCAGTAAATCCACTTGGGAGCAGCCCTGTACACCAAAATCCTGTGCTGATGGCGTGTCCTCTGCCACTGCTGATGGATAACATGGGAAAACAGTGGGATGTGGGAGCTGCACGTCCTGGGGACGGGGAGGAGAAACCATCCAAGAGTTGTGGGGGTATAGTGGAGAACCAAGCCTCAGCCCTGACCTTGTGCATGAAAAAGTTCCGGTGCCCCTGAGCTGGCTCAGGAGAGCCAGCAAGCACAGGCCTGGGGCACAGAAAGACTTGCAATGAGCTTATGGCTATTGAAGTACCCTTCTGACTGGCTCAGAAAGTGCCTTATTCTAGCTACAAGCACGGGACCTGATCTTGCATGGCTGTGAGAGACTCCTGCTGAGTGCTGAATGTTCTTAGTAGGGGTTGGTTGTGCACAGCCTTTTTTTCCCAAATGTAATTGGTAACCGCATATACAATGAGAAATAACAAGGCCAGGATCTTGTTTTGTGCAAGGACACCTGGGCCAAGCAAATTGGCTGTAGAATCCTTCACAGTCCTTTTGTGGTGTGCAGGGGGATGAGCCCTTGTGGCCATGCAGCCCCACGGGGAGGCTGCCCGGAGTATGCCTGTCCCCTGCTTCCTGTGCCCTTGGAGGCCTGGTCGGGGGAAGCTCACACCAGGAGTTGCTGTGGAAGGTGATAGGAGTCCAGGGAGGCAGAAATTCAGGACAAAACAGGATTCGTTTCCTCAGCCCTGGTTTCTCTCATTGCTGCAGCTAAATGCAGGCTTTGGTCCAGTCTATACACTGCCCTCTCACAATCAGTGGCATCGATGGGTAGAGCCACAAGCCTGTCACTGGGGCTTTAGCAGCTAATCCTCCAGTGGAAGAGTTGGCTGTAATCTAGCAATATTTTTTCAGGCTTTTCTTATCAACTTCTCCCAGACTGATAGATGCTACTGACCAGCATGTCTGGTGGTGAGCGACTGTCCTTTCCATGCATTTCACAGCCATTTGATGTGAGGAGGTGGGATGAAGTGTGCTGTAGTGGGTAGGTTTCAGGCCAAATGTGTTATGCTGGGTCTCAGTTCAGAGAAGTCCCCCATGTTGGCTCTTCCCTGGGAATCAGAGAGGCTGGCTCACTGGGGAGCAAGCCCTGTGTGGCAGAAGAGGAAAAGTACGAAACAGAAGCAGGGGCTTCCCTGCTTAGTGAGGCTGCAGAGGGGTCTGGCTTCTGACACTATGCCACTGCCTAAAATAGCAAGTGGCTCAACTTTCTCCCCGAGTCTCCATGGAAATTCACAGTCTCCTTCCAATACAGGAAAGCGGAACTGGGCTGTGAAAGTCAGGAGAAGGCCCCAGGAATAAGAAGACAGTATCTTTTTTAGGGGAAATGAAGAGACAATTAGCTGGTTGGTAGGAAGTCCTGATGACTGGGCAGGACACTCACCCCTGTGCAATGGGTCAGGGCTCTCCTGTTGCTCATGGGCACTCGTGGCAGCCAGGACAGCAGGAAAGCTGGCTTTGGGGAGTGCTGCAAGAGGCCAGGCAGGTCTGCAGAGGGGGACACAGGAGCCCTCCCATGCTTTGGGGAACCTCTCTCCTGTGCACCCACATCTCTGGGCTTCCTCTGGTTTGTGGTGGGCCAAAGCAGGCTGCAGTCTGTGTGGAAACTGCTTATCACACCTCACCTGGGATGGAGGCATTGCACCTTTCTTGGCTGTGATTGTGCCTAATTTCTCCTGTGCAGATCTTTTTCTACCTGTCCATGGCCTCTAGTGTGCTCTCCATCTCCCTCTTTTCAAGACCTGCTCCAGCACCCGTGGGCCACTTCTCCACCACTACTGTGCATCACCTGTGGTGCTTCTCCCCACCATCAGTACCAGGGATGGGCTAGTGCTCAGTGCTTTATGCTTTTTACTATCATTGCTGACAGGATTTTAGTGCTACCAGCACAAACCCTCTATGCTGCCTGTATCTACCACATGGAGAGCAGTGTGAGAAATGGCTCCAGTTGCAGGGCAGAGAGAGCCAGGGCACTAGGCTCGCTGGCTGCTGGCCCCAACTAGAGAGCCAGGCAAGTCGGCTCCATCAGCTGGCTTGGCCCAGGGCTGCCCGGAGTGTGAAGTAGCAGGGGGAGACACCCTAAATGATGTCACTGCTTCCATAGCAAAGGGTGAGCTTAGCCTGCTGAGCAGCCTATCTGAGGGCAGGGACAGATCCTGCCCCCATCCTGAGAGCCAGGCCATCCAGGACCAGTGAGCCAAATGTCCTTGTCCAGGGAGAGTTGCCTGACCTCTAGGACCAACAGTCTAAACATACATCTGCATATATGACAATAGATATATCCCATGCGTATAGCAGAATGCACAGGGGATCCAAGGCTCTGTGCAGGTGCTCCTGACCGCACAGCTGCAGCAACAAGGTCTCTCTCCATCCTCTCTCATCCTTTGGCCCTTTACTCAGCGTGAAACAAGCATATGAGCTCTGACTTCTGCCTCTTCGGGAGTGTGTGTGTGCAAGTGCAGAGTCACCTCTCTGGAGACCAGTGATGTGTTGAGGAGAGACCGTCTGCTGCCAGTCCCACTGAAGCCAAGGCAAAACACAGTGATAGGCAGATCTTCCAGAGTCCCCAAAAGTCAGCATGGAGGAGGTGGCATCATTCAAGTGGAAAGCACTTGTCTGGGCATCTTCTCTCTTCCCCATGCACGTTTGCTCCTGTCCATCTTCCTGCTGGCTGGAAGATGGACCAGGACCTGGCAGCATCCTCCCTGTCCACCATGTGTTCTGCACTCCAAGTCCAGGATGAGGAGGATCAGGTGGTACCTTGTGGCGATGCTGCTGGAGCAGCCAAGATGGGAGTAGATTAATTAGAAATAAATCCTCTCCTTCTCCCCAGAAGAAACTTGGTCTCTATCTAATCTAAAGCTTTTTATGTGATCTCACTGTGCTATGGCAACCTTCACAGCACAAGTACAGTAAGCAGCTTAGTGCCCCTCTTGGAAAACCAGATGAATCTTGGGTCTTCTCCATGGAGACTGAGTAAGCAGAAAGCCCAGGAGCCCCACTGAAGTGCTTGCTGGTGAGGGGTTTCCTTTGCAACAGAATTCTGGCTGCCGATGCACACCGCATCACCGTTCTCCTCAAAGACCTCCTCAGTGCTCTGCACAGAGTTCCCCAGTGCCTGCCACCCTATCAATGACTAGCAGTGTGATTGTGACTATTGGGAAAATGTGGGAAATCTGGCCATCTTCATTCAGGGAACACTGGAGTCCTCCAGCTACACTTTGAGAACTGAGCTCAAAGTTTTGAGCTTCCAATCAATGCAAAGTCTCTAGGTGAATTTATGGCATGAACACTGGGATCTCTGAAGGCAGATGGGAACCATGTGAATCCTGCACCCAAGCCCATCAGCCAACACCCAGACCTCAGTCCAGATTGTTTAGGACCAAATGTGGCTTCAGCAGAGGTTTTGCAAGCTGCTCAGCCCTCCTCATATGCTGGTCCCAGCACTAGAGTCCTTCTTGACTGTCCCTGGCAAGTTGTTGTAGCATAGCTTTCACGATAATGCTGGTCAGCCTGAGTGGCTTAATGTCATTGCATCCAGGGAATAAGTTTTCATGAATTCCTTCATTCAGAGATGTCAGAAAACAACCCAGGAAGATACTGTCAGTAACCATGGGGTATGGTAGTTGCCTTGAAGATAATGGAGAGAAGCCTCTGCTCCTTGTGACCCACATCCCTACAAAAACTTCCCTGCAGCACCAGGGAAA